TAAGACATTGCTTGGATGTGGTTGATGGGTTAGGAGAGCGATCCAGGGCCATCATGGCCCTCTTGTTTAATAACTCAAGATGAAAATAAATCCTATATTTATTGAAAAAACTTGAATTTTCTGTTTATTATATACATCTTCTCTTTTTTTTACCACATTACAATTAGAAAGACATCCCCTTAAATTTTGTGTATTGGCTGAATTTAAAAGACACCAGTGAAAATATGTTTTTCTGCATTGAAAAATAAATTTTTACAGTGAAAATATGATTATTGAAAAATACGCATTTTCTTTCATCAATATTTCATTTATAAGTATAAGTGGATTGATCAAAAAGTTCTTGGCTTGATGAACTTCAGGTAGTCAGAGAACCCAACTAATGGTCTTACTTTTCAACATATTTGCCCTCTACATCAATGCATTTTGCCCACCTGTGCTCCAACTTGTTTAATCCTTCAAAATAGAACTCCTTATTTTGGTCCTCAAAGAACTCATTGACCGCCTCCATGACACCTTCTTTGCTTCCAAAACATCTACCAGGAAGCTTGGTTTTCAGTTTTGGAAACAGCTAGAAGTTAAAGGGGGCCAAGCCCGGAGAACATTGGGGATGGGAAAGAATTTCAAAGCTGCAGTCAGTTGCAACAGCCATCGCAACTTGGGATGTGTGAGCTGACTACGTAATCTTCAATAAGATATCTGTATTGACGTATCGTGTGTAAATGTCAGTGAAGTGGTTAGAAGTATATCGGGCTGAGAACTTTTCCATCATACCTTGTATACTATAGGAGCTTTAACTTAGTTATTTGGTATGAAACATTGTCTGGTGGACCTCTTCAAAAGTTGTTCAAAATTATAGCCCTCGGATCAAATTTGCCCTGCCCCGGGGGTACATAGATTTTCCTTAAATGTATATTGTAAAAACTTTAAAAAAAAATCTTCTCTAAATCTACGAGAGCTAAAGAATAGTTACATAGCAACCAGTGACTTCATATCAGCCATTGACTTTTCATAGCAAACTGTAAATTTTCATAGAAACTTGAGTGACTTCCATGGCAAACATTAACTTTCCATAGCAACTAGTGAATCTACCATGGAATTTCAGCACTGATTTTTATTTGTTTGGGTCGTCAGACCAAACAAATAATGATAGCAAAATTTCAGACTCTAATGCTGTTAATTGCAAATGCCGAAAGTAGTCCTCTTTTTTGAAGCGGTTACTTCCTTTATATGTAACACTAAGGCCGAAAAATTCAGGGGAGATCACTGCGTAAATATGGTCACATGACAGGCGCATTAATTTCAAGCAAAATAATTTCCGAATGGTCGAAGATTTCTAATATTGTTTTATTCTTTATAGATATACATGCTTATAGTAAGCGCTATGATTATTTACACAAGTGTTAAACAACAGTTAGCGTCGTAACACAAACCCTAATTTAGAATAATATGGTTTTCTTCAGACCGTAAACACATAAATTCACCGTGGCGCTCGCTTAGGAAGTGAGAGGTCTGGAGTTCAAATCCCAGTTAAGGCAACTCATTTTTTTTCAAATTGTTTAAGTCAAATAAACATTGGATTGAATATCAGTGTTGCAATTAGTCTTATAGCCAATCTACTACAATTAAAACGCTGGAAAGCATTGGTGGCACTATACAAAAACAAATTGTTTTATAATCTCACAACCTTCAGCTTTCTGACACTCTGAGACCCAAACAAATTCAGCGCCTTCTGTGCTTTGATTAAGGAAATCATTTATTTTGTATAGGAACCAGTGACTTCCTATGTAATTGTTGTTTTCTCTTATTAACAATAGCAACCAGTAATGTTTTTACATGTGCACCAATATGAACTTTGTGATATCAGTTTAAGATTTAGATTTTGTATCTGCTTTCATTTACAGTTTACAATATTACTTGTTCTTTGTCATGGAGGGTTTTTAAAGTCATGTGAGCGATTTCAGGGCCATCATGACCCTCTTATTGTAAAGTAGAAAATGTTTTGTTAAAGTTCTTATGGAAGTTTGGGAATTTAAGTTTTGAACAAACTTGAATGTTATTTGCAGAGAAAACAGAACTTCAAAAATTTATATGAGAGCATAGCAATTGTGTTTCTACTATTATTGTTTTTTTTCTTCTATGATCTGTATATAGCTGATACCAGTGTGTGCCTAGTTCAATAACATGATGGTATTGCTCTTACATTAAATCGCTTCTATTGGTACAGTCACTAATTGGAGCGTACACAGTGACTTTGATAGTTGTACACGTTATGTTTGTTTCATTAACTACCTGTTTAACGTGAATTTTCTCCTTCCTCCCTGCTATTATATTCATCTGGATAAACATTTTTTTGTTGGGAAGTTTATAAGTTTGTGCAAAGGTGTGGTTGTTATGTTCCTGATTCTGAAACAAGTCTGATAAAACAACAGAGGATTTTTGATAATATGCCACTTTGATATAGGTTCTGTCTTGATGGAAATTTTCAACAAATTTCTTATGACAGAAAGGAGGAAAGATGATATTTTGTTAGTGAGGAAACTTTTGCTCAGATAATTTTGTATAGATATTTTTTTGACTGACAAAGGGAAATACAAACTTAAGGGTCATTACCCATTTTACAGCTAGATTTGCTTCTTTGTGTATGGATTTGTCTAAGTAAGTATAATTCAGCTTTTTTGAAAAGAATTAAATGGCCTCTTAATATTTGACAGAGAAATTAACTGGCTTACTCCAAATATTTAAAATAAAATTGAGGCAGAAAACACAGATGGTCATAAATTATTTTTGGTTATTGAAATGCATTGTATCAAATTTCCTTATTTTTATGAGATTTAAAAGTTAAAGATGGGATTGAAAGCTGTTAAATTTGCATTTTTATCATCAATGAAATGCAAATAATTTTGTGAAAATCCATTGAGAAACCACATTTTCCATTACTCTAATTATGTGAGCATGAAGAGTCAATAAGAAAGTCTCCCCCTTTTGAACTAGGGGAAATCCTCAGGTCACAAAATAGTATTATGGTTGTGATAAATTGTTGTAATGTCTGATGGCAGAAAATCCAAACATTTTAATGAGTAAGGGTCATATTAAGAATTAAGAATTTATATAGTTGGCTTGTGTAACAAATAAATATACCATATTATTTGTGAATGATGACTTTGAGATTTTAAAAAGGATTATAGTATTTTGGTATGAATTTTTTGTTGATTCCAAAAGTTTTTTTTTACATTTTTTTGTTTGTACTGTTTTTCAGATGGGGCCAAATTGATGACTATAATAAATACAATGTAAAATCAGCAAAAAAAATATTAAGAATGTGGTTAAGTTTAAGGGCAGAATAATCAAAAGAGATAAAAAAGGATAAAACAAAAGCAACCTTTATGATGAATCATAAGAATGTTGGCAAGATATATGTATCTAGTAATATTAAATTTAGAATTGTTTATGTTGTAATGCCTCATTTAAATCAGTACCTCGTCTCAATTTGTAAATGATATAATATTCACAAATATATTTCATTATCTTTTTCATTCTCAAAATAAGGTTTGTATGTTACATGATTTCTGTAATCAAAAAAAAAAAAATCTGAGAGAGGATTTTTAGCTATGCTTTTTTGTGCTTTATGTTTAATATTTTTAAACAAAATTGACAATATTTTCTTTGAAAAAAAAAAAAGAGAAGAAATATAATGTTTTATTTATTACTTCATGCTCAGAAAATTAATTTTCAGTTTTTCAAACAATATTTTCAGTTGGATGGATATTTTTCAAAATCTGTCAGCAATCCTAATTTTGTGTATGAGATTATTTACATATGTTTTTTTACCACCAGTCAAAGCAATTTGAGAATGTTTTTGTCATCAGTTACAGAAATTGATGTTGTATTTATGCACAATGTTTGCTATAAAGTAGCTATTGAATGAAAAATTGAATAAAATAAAAATTGGATATTTTATCTTCCTGATAAGGATTTAGAACATTTTGTATTCATAGCATAAATCACATAAATTCTAATGAAAATAAACACTCCCCCAACTGACTTTTCCTGATTTTTTTTATACTTGTGCTTATACAAAAAAAAATAATTCAGTTTCTTGACAAATAGCCTCACTCTATCTCCTGATGCATGAAGCAGATTGTGTCTGTAAATATATTAAAGTGAGAAGATAGAATAAATCAGTTGAATTTATACCATCCAGTCTCAAAAACACAAGTGTGTTGATAATTTTGGAGAGAGAAGCCTTATTGTGAAAAATTCAGTGCTATACGATATATTTAACAAGTCAATTCTCAAGGTAGTTTGAATTATTTTTGTCCAGGAGAAAGAAAAGCAAAGATTTACTATAAAACATCTTTAGTATATTTTTCATTATGTTAGTAGAACTTTTTATTTGATTTGTATTGATCAAGCGATGTTGTTAAGGTTTTTTCTGTGATCTGATAATAATCCTTGATCTTTTGATTTGTTAATAGTCCTGTTATGTTAGATTTAAGTTGAATTTTTAAATGGAAAAGCTGTTAACAATTAGATTAACATATTATGATGACTGTATTGAATGAATTAAGTCTTTCAAATTAATTTTTGCAGTTTGAATCATAACACAAATCTTCAGTTAAAATAATTTCTTAGTATTTAATAATTGCTAGGCCATTCTTGACCAATTCAGTTAACTTAAATAAACCTATCTGGAGTTGGGCTAGGATAATACATTATTGGTGTAGATGGTAAATAAATTTACAAACTTTCATGTGCACAAGTATTCTGATCATGCAGTCTATGTTATGAACACTTCACAAGGAGTTCCCAAATTAACTATGAGGATTAACATTTCCAGACAGGATTTAATCCAGAAAGTATCATTTAAATCCAGCATGTTTCCTTAAGTATTCTTCAGAGACAGATAAATTTTATGATCATTATTTAATGGTCTGGACAATTAAACCATATCTGCAGAAGTTCTATGCTTATACAGTTGCTTTATTTAAATCTGTTTTTAGGTTGCAGGATACTAAGATAAATTCTTCATTGCTGCAGTTTCTGGTAAAGTGTGGTACAGCATAGGAAATTTCCATTTTATTTGAAGATTTCTTCTTTTTTGGATGGAGGTAATTTTTGTCTTATATTATAATCTTAAATTTTAACTGTTCTTGAAATGTCATGTAAAATGATAAGGTATAATGGGACCAAAGGTAGATAAACTTATGATTTATTTAATCTATTCTCCTTTATAATATTATAATTTCATTACTGAATTGTCCAATTGAACTTTACCTGCTGAATTTGTGTAATGGATTTGCCCTGCTTTGAATTGTCAACAGTACATTCAAAGTTACAAAAGTTCACAACTTTCAACAGTATATAGAGCCTTGGGATCACAGGTGGCAGTATCAGTGTTTGGACACCCCACTCACCCTGCTCCTGGACCCCTGCTACAACCCTGAAAAAAAAAATCCACACTCTAAGGCTACTATAAGATGCCAAATACTAAACCACGGATAAAATTTTAAAAGAAATTTTTTTCCACTATCAAAATTATAGTTATAGAAAGGTGGAAAGCCTACTATATGCTCATTGTCCCCCGCCTTTTCAAAGAAAAAAGGGGGATATAGTAATAGGCTCCGTCCGTCCGTCCGTCCGTCACACTTTCGTGTCCGGTCCATAACTTTGTCATTTATCAAAGGAATCTGAAATAACTTGGCACAAATGTTTGTTATAATAAGACGATGTGTCATGCGCAAAAACCAGACCCCTAACTCCAAGGTCAAGGTCGCACTTGCTCATTCAAGGTCAACATTGTCTATTTGATGGTATATGTTGTGTCCGGTCCATAACTTTCTTATCTTTGAAGGGATTTTGTTAATACTTGCCACAATAGTTCACAATAATGAGACGATGTGTCATGCGCAACAACCCGTCACCTACCTCCAAGGTCAAGGTCACCTTTGGATGTCAAATGTTAACATAGTCTATTACAGGGTATATTTTGTGTCCGGTCCATAACTTTTTCAATTATCAAAGGAATCTGAAATTATTTGGCACAACTGTTTGTTATAATAAGTCGATGTGTCATGCCTAACAACCAGACCCCTACCTCCAGGGTCAAGGTCGCATTTGCTCATTCAAGGTCAACATTGTCTATTTGATGGTATATGTTGTGTCCGGTCCATAACTTTCTTATCTTTGAAGGGATTTTGTAAATACTTGCCACAATTGTTCACAGTAATAAGAAGATGTGTCATGCGCAACAACCGGTCACCTACCTTCAAGGTCAAGGTCACACTTGGAGGTCAAAGATTAACATAGTCTATTACAGGGTATATTTTGTGTCCAGTCCATAACTTTTTTATAGATCAAAGGATTTTGTAAATACTTGCCACAAATAGTCACTATAATAAGACAATGTGTCATGCGCAACATCTGCATCCCTACCTCCCAAGTTCAAGGTCACACTTAGAGGTCAAAATATAACAAATTCTGTTTTAGGGTATATTTTGTATTTCTTCAGGATTTTGAAATAACTAGGCACAAATAGTCACAATAATAAGACAATATGTCAGGTACAACACCTGCACCCCTACCTCCAAGGTCAAGGTCACACTTAGAGGTCAAAGGTTAACAGAGTCTGTTATATGGTTTATTTTGACTCCCGTCTATAACTTCTTTATAGATCAAGGGATTTTGAAAATACTTGGCACAAAAAGTCACAATGATAAAATGATATGTCATGCATAACACATGTGTCCCTACCTCCAAGGTCAAGGTCACACGTAGAGGTCAAACATTTACATGATCTGTAATAGGGTATATTTTGTGTCCAGTCCATGACCTGGGATTTTAAAAATACTTTGCACAAATAATCACAATAATAAGATGATATGTCAGACGCAAAACATGGGTCCCTACCTCCAAGGTCACACTTAGAGGTCAAAGATTGACATAGTCTGTTATAGGGTATATTTTGTGTCCGATCTATAACTTCTACATAGTTCAAGGAATTTTAAAGATACTTGACACAAATAGTAATATTAATTAGATGATATGTCATGCACAACACCTGCACCCCTACCTCCAAGGTCAAGGTCACACTAAGAGGTCAAAGGTTAATATGATAGAATTTTACATTCCGTGTTTCATTTTACTAGTATTTCTTTAATAAATTCATTGTTGCTTTTGCAGATATAGCATTGATTATAATTTTGGAATGAAAGTCCTGACATCCATACCTCAATCTCTTGAAATAGCACAATTTTATGTTTCATATAAAACTTCCCCGAGGCGGGGGACGTTGGTAACTCTGTTACAAATTCTTGTTTGCCAAATAATGTGGAACACGGGAAATCCTAGTTTCGGCGATTCCGGTGGCATTACGCTGCATCATTCATTAACATCAATAAAAAAACTAGAATTTCACAGCTTACCTAATTCAAGTCCAACTTATATCAATATTCTATTGATTTTTTTCTGTTTCATGGTATTTTTTTACTTGTTGTAGCCATTTTGTAGTCTGATACCTGCATTTTATATGCGATCTGATTGGACTGCGATAAGACTGCACAGACTGGTGGCATTTTGGCTTCAAATCACTTTTGTTTCCAGCAGGTGTAGGGTTAACTCTTTAACTCTTTTAAAAAGTCAAAATTACCTAAAGAATGTTTATAAAATATGTTTTGAATTAAATTGTTTGAATCAGATAAAATTCTTTCTATAAATTCTAAGGAAAGCATAGCTTTTCTTGAATATCAAATATTGCAGAATAGATGATATTTTACTAGAATAAAAGAAATGATTCCCTAACCTCACTCTACCATGCAAATGCATGTGAATAAATCATTTAGATGATGAAATTTTTTGGGTGTAATGTATCCTGACTACACAATGAAGGCTATTAAATGCTATATAATGCTAGCTTTCTTTAATATCTAATATGAAATATCAATAGAATTCTGCTGTTTCACTATCTTTAAAAGTTCTGACTCATGGAATGTTTCATTTTTAATCCCCAGTTTGTTAATAAAGCACAATCTGATTGCCTATTGATTTCTTGAGGGATTTTTTTTTATATTATTAAAAGGAACCCCCAACTCTGTTATTAATCAGTTAGAAGCTATATGATGTCCTCTAGAGGAATCTCCCCCTGAATGCAAGACTGTAATATCTGTCTTGATATGTTTATGCAGTAATGATATTCCTGCGCACAAGAGACAAAAACTTTTTTTTTCTAATTGGGCTCATTTTCTTTAATGAGGGACTTGATACTTTCATTGCTGCTGATTTTTTCTTCAGAAAATGAGAATTCTGATTCTATTTAAATTTCTATTAGAGAAACTTGTGTCTCTTTTTTTTTAATTTTGAAGAAGTGTGATCTCATTTGAAGTGTGATCTCATTTGGCTAGTTGTGAATTTAATTTAGAGATTTGGAGCCTTCCTTATATCCTATTTAAATAATCATTTTATATTTTCTTGCTATAAAAAAAACATGGCAAAATAGCAGCATTTTAATATCAAGAAATAAAGCAAAAATCTGGGGCAAAGTATTTAAGTAATTCTCTGATTTTATTTAATGACAAACTTTCATACTGTGCTTTAACTAACCTGAAGTCCATTAATAACTGACAAGTTGCTGTGAAAATTTAATTTCTATGTGACTTGGGGAAAGCGAAATAAATATCAAACGTTCAAATCTCAGTGTAGCAATTATAACTTATCTCTTGTGAGCTGTGATTGCTGCAGTAAGTTTTCAACAGTCATTGTCATGTTTTATACATTTTTGTGTCACCTCTATGGAGTATTGGTGACATATAGGGATCACTTCTCCGTCGTCTGTCTGTCCGTCCATCACAAAACTTGTCCTAACTACTCCTCATAAACTACTGATGCAATTTCATCCAAAACTTACAAGCATGATTAGTACCACGTCTAGTTGTGCAAATTGTCAGCATTTTCCAGTTCAATGATTTTTGTCTGAGTAATGGCCCTTTAATAATTTTTATTTTTAAAGTGTCCTGACTACCCCTCTTTTACCACTAATGCAATTTTATTGAAACTTAACAGGATTGATCTGTAGCTAAAGTCATTGTGCATATTGCACGGGTTTTCTGGTTGAATGATTTTTGGCTGAGTTATGGCCCTTTAATAAAAGAGGTGGTTTTTTTTGCGTGTTGCCAGATACAAAAAATATTGTCCAGACTACTTCTCAAAAACTACTGGTGCAATTTCATTCAAAGTTTACAGGAATGATCAGTACCTGTACACAAAGTATAGTTGTGCATATCAACGGCTTTATATGGTTCAATGAATTTTGTTGGAGTTATGACCCTTTAATTATCTTTGTCAAATTGTGCCCTCACTTTGGGCGGGGGGGGGGAGGGGTTTAGATTTACCCTTGTCCCTCCGTTCTCTTTTGTGTCGCACTTAGCTAAAAAAAAATTGACCAACTTTACAGGAATGTTGATCAGCATGTATAGTTGTGCACCTGGTCATTTTCATGTGGATATATTTAGTATATTTTTTAGAGTTATTGCCATTGACTTAGTAAAATTTACAATTTTCAACTTTTGTCGCACATAACTCAAGAAACCTTACAGGAATGTTGTTCAGCATGTGTAATTGTGCACCTGGGGTTTTACTTGTGGATTTATTCTGTTTTGTTAGAGTTATTGCCCTTGACTTAATAAATATTTGCAATTTTCAACTTGTGTCGCATGTAAAAATTATGTGCGTTAATTTTCATAGAAGAACAAAAGTCGATACTATATTGAATTCTGTTCATAGTCAACTATCGCTCCCGTCGAAGTTTCTAATTTCTATAGAACAGCACGGATGAACACTAACATATACTAGGTGTTTGTCTTACACATTTGTTTATCTTACGCATTTGTTTATCTATAAACATTTGTTTATCTTACACATTTGTTTATCTGTCAAATTTGTTTATCTTACATTTTTTCCTACTCTTGTTTATCTTAAACATGTGTTTATGTTACAAATGTGTTATAATTTTTTTATCTTTGGTATATATTACACTTCTGTTTGTCTTACACAATAGCTATTTGTACATTATTTGTCCCCAACAATGCCAACATAATGAACAATGCAATATACATAA